AACACACTAGTGTGCACTAATGCATATTAAAGTTGTCATATATTGATTTAATTTAAATGTAAAAGTGAAATATAAATATTTCGAATTATGGAATACATATTTTACTTAATAGCAAATTAAAATATATTGATAATCTCATGATTTAACCCATTCTATATTAAATCACATCTTTATCATCAGTGATTACATTTACATGGTCTAATTTATGGCATAGTTATAATATCGATTGTTATAACTACTGATGTTACATATAAACGCTATTTTACAAAGTTATTACATCGATGTAATAACTCAAAATTGTTTGATGAACAGACTTAGGCTTATTACATTGATGTAAAAAGGACATATAAATAACTGCGATTATAACTTTGGCATAAATTGGGCCATATAAATGTAACCTAAAAGTTCACTTTGCTTATTGACTTATTAACATTCTTTTATTCTTTCAGCCTAGTGGACATAAAATAAAACATATAAACGCGACTGGCTTAAGTAAGAATTATAATATTAAATGAAAGATAAAAAGTCATGTAAATATACTAAATTTGTGTATGACGTGACTTTAATATGTATCACTGTGCACTAAGTGCATCTAATCACATTCGCTATTAAAGAAACAAAGAGTACAATCTCCTATTACATGTTTTTTATCGCCTCAACTGTTTTTACAATGTTAAGTGTTCCAGAATGTTAGGGCCATGATATACACAAAAATTTAAGCAATAAAACATAAGCAATAAATAAATTAACCACTCATAATAAAGATCATAAGAACCTAACATAAATAGTAACAAATCCAACATGTTTCCTTCCTGCTTACATCTTACTGTTTAAAATTTTTTCTGTGTGCCTTATGTAGTATATGGCTCTTACGTAGAACACATTCTTGAATAACTTGACTGACATACCTTGCGTAGTGCCAAACTGTTTGGCTTGAGCGCACCTGCCGACGCCACCATTGAACCTACGGAAAGGAACGCATTCCTTGTGCTCGATGACATTTTTCAGGTACTTCTGTGCCCTCCGCAGGGCCATGCTTTTGATAGCACGCGCTGTCTCATGGGTATTCTGTAGCATACAAAAGATAATCGATTGTACTCACGTTCGTAAACATCCCTGAGAGAGAACATCGCGTTTGAGGTTATATTTTCTCAAAAGAGATATTTACCTTGAAGTGCACACGAAGATTAGAGCCACGCGCTTTGCATGACTTGGTCTGATTGACCGGTTCGTGGGAGTACCGACCCATTGCGTCCTGAAAACACAGACAGATCGATCATATCTCTCTCAGATTCTGCACGACTATAAACGTGACGGTCAGCAGAATCTGAACTGTGCACGTCATGTATTTCTCGCGATTTCATGGCAGTTCTCGCGAATAGACATAACATTTTCTATTTACATTGTGGCACCAAGTCTGTTACTCGAGAAATTATCTCGCATAAAATAAATACCTCGACGATGAGGTGGATGCGAACGGATTTAACAAACACGATGAGCCGGCTCATACATACCTTCCAACGCCAAACTTTTAAAGGAAAAGTCGTCACTTCACTAGCATTCTACTTCCTGTGTGCAAGCAATGCTACCAACTGAAAATCATAGGGATGATATGGTGAAAGAAATCAAACCTAGGTGTGCTCGTTCTTGAGACGAATTTTGTGTGTACAGAGCAAACATGGCGCGACACTATATGCGCCATTTAAATATTTGCGGTAATTTTGAAAAATGATAGCTCAAAAGATCAAAATAAATACAATTCGAGATACTATTAAACCGTCGATCCTGAGCAAAAATCGTGATTATATCAAATGGGATCCCGAAGACTCGGGGATAATTAAAGAACGATAACATTACCGACAATTTAAAAAATTTACAATTATAAATTAACAAATATTTCGATAATTTATTATTAAATTTGATTTTTTTGTTATATAAATGCTGTATAAATAAGTACGCATACTTTTAATGCTATAATATCTTATATATATTGGATTGTCCAGAAAGTTCGTGCTGCAAAAGATTTAAATTTAATAAATGAAATTAAAAATTTAAATCTTCTGCGTTTCAAAATCCTTTTTTTTCCTTCAAAATCGGCACGAACTTTCCGGACAACCTAATATATATATGTATGTATGTGTATATATCTATATATATATATATATATATATACATATATAAAATATATGTATATGTATTTTACACGCTGTAATGTAGTGCTGTCCATGCCGACAAATGCTGCCTCAATAGCGGTTCTTAATGACGTCACATTAGAATGCCGAGATTTTTTTGTGATCCTTTCAACTACGCTCCATATGTAATAGTCCAAGGGATTTAAATCTGGGCTATTGGGAGGCCAAAATTCCTTGAATCAAAACATATCGACGTTGTCTGAGAGTCAATTTTGAATTAAATGACTTGTATGAACCGGTGCACCGTCCTGCTGAAAAACATATGGCCTTCCGGATGCCACAGTTTCCATCCATGGCTTCACACATCCATCAGAACGCGCAAATACACTTCTTTTGTGACAGTTTTCTCTTTTTTAAAGAAATGTAATGACATCACCCTCACTAGATACATCTAGCACATGAACATGGCCGGAAATTTCGTTCTGGCAACAACAGGGACACCCTCGGGGTTGTAGGCGAGGCATCGGTCATTCCATCGGTTGATTTTAGCATCAACAGTAAAAACTTTTTTGTTTTTCAAAGAACACAATAGCAGATTGCAGCAAGCAACTCGGTTTATCCTGGCCTCAGAGAACATTGATTGTTTACAATACCGTTGCATTATATTTGCTGACTGTTCCTTCAGTTCTGTTCAGTACAGTAATTAATGCCTACTAGCTTGATTGCTTGCAAGCACTTTTTCGAACAAATAAAAATTTCAGAGATAAAATAAATAGTCACATTTACTTATACATTGCATTATTACAAGCTTTTGTGTACAAAAATCAAGGTAAGTTAATGTCTTTTTTAACTGAATAATATTAAAATTAATGGCTTTACAAAATTAAAGTTAAGTTAAAAGTTGAAGGAATGAAAAATTAACTTAACATAAATTAAGTCAATATTGAATTAATTTATGTTAAGTTAATTTTTAACTTAAGTTAAAAAAAAGTTAATTTTGAAAAAAATATTTTTTAAATCAAAATATCCTAATTTTTCTTAAAATAAGATTAAATAACTACAATGTAGATTATTAAGTAAATTAAATTTTTATTCTTTTATTCACATATGATATAAATATATAATACATAACGATATAATTATATAAGTTTAAAAAAACTTTAGTCAGCACATAGAGAGGATACAAGAACAGTGATTATTTTTTAATAAGTCTTAAATCATAAGAAATTGATCAATTACTTAATCGAATGTGAGAAGAAATATTTGACTGTAATTGATCAATTTCTTATGATTTAAGGTTTAAAACACTTATTGTAGATCCGGACTAAGGTTTATGGCATAAGGCACAACCACATAAACCAATCAGAAGACTAGCATCTTAAGAAATTACTTAAGATGGTTTTAAAATATAAACAGATTACGAATATATGCCCTTAGTCTTATTATATCTTATTATTTTTCTAAGATATTTAAAAGAGATAAAAAAAATTTTAACTTAAAAAAAAGTTAAAACATTTAAAAATAACTTAGTTACATTAGCATTTAAAATTAACTAAATTAAATTAAAAGTTATTAACTTTTTTTTTAACTTTTAACATTTTAACTAGCTACCCAACTCTGACAAAAATAAAAGAAGCAAAATTTATTTGCACGTATTATTGCTTACAAATTGATTGGCCTACTATCACATAAACTATATAAGAAAATAGTTGTGCTAAAACAGAGAATTTGTATTTTTAAAGAAGAAAATGGCATGTAGATAAATTACAATTGAGTTGTAAACAATAATTTTTATGTGTAAACGAACTCTCGGTAAATGTAATGTAGGCAAACGATACTATAGGCAATTAATTTGTTGGCAAATAGTGTTTTGTCCCTCCGGAATAACAATCTATATTTATACCAAGAGGTTTTTTTACATAGAACTTTTATAAGAATATTATGCCAGTGATTCAATAATTGAGACAAGAACAAATTACTAATGCTCTATAATATCAGTTGCTTCAATATAATTCATGTTTTCCTACTTATAATAGTACATGAGTAATAGACATACAAAAATAAAAGTCAGCACATTCAATATTAAAATTAGATTATAATTTGATGCAACCGGGTAAATTAACACATAATTGATTCTTCATTACGATCGATCAATACATTAGGTCAGTTTCATTTTTACGCTCTTACACGCTGTAAGCATTATTTCATCCTTGTTTATCACATATTAAACAAACACAATAAAGTTTATTATGCTGTTAGGGCTGATACACATAAAATTTCGCAATAGTAACCATGTGCGGCAACCCTTATCATTTAGGGCTGCTGCACACAAAATTTCTGTAACAATAACCTTAAAATGTAAACTTAAGCCGATGAGCCAATCAGGATTTTGCTTTAGGTTTATATAATCTAACGGAAATGGAAATAACAATATACTTATCCAATAATCTCGCAATAAGGTGAATTTCAACAGTTGGTTGATGAATTTTAATTCTCCTTATGAATAAGTTTACTGTTATTTCTATTTCCATTAGAGTACGTAGATCTAAAGCAGTATCCTGATTGACTTATCAGCTTAAGTTTATGTCTTAAGGTTACAGAAATTTTGTGTGTTAAGTGGTAAGGGCACGAAATGATCAGTATATGACGTCACGGAATGCCGTCGAATAAAAACCTATGGTCACTTTTGAATCCCTTGACATTTTTTACAAACATGATTTGAATTGATGTCAAAATGAACTTTGCTACCTGGCCATTTTTACATGCTCTCTGTGTAATCATTTTGTTTAAATGCATAAAATTGAAAAATATGTACATTAAAAATAATCAAGCTGTACTCGAGAAATTTTTTTCATTTTTTGATTATTTTTAATTGTTGTTGTTATTGTTGAAAGACGGGAAACGTAGATCAGTTTCTTTAAGATTTTCTTCGATCCATTTCTCTATCTTTGCATCTAATTCTGCAGTGGAAATGTCTTGCCAATTTCCATTTCCTCCTTTTCTAATAAAAGAATTGTCCTTAATGATTCCACAAGCTTTCATCTCAGAGAAATTCACCATCGGATTATTTCGAAAATTTTTGATATTGAGATGGTTTGTCACTTTGTTAATTTCTTCGTCAGTGTATGTTTTACCTAAAAATTTTGCTACTTTCTTGATTGCTTTCGGAAAATCCTAAAAACAAAAATAATTTTTTTCAATATATATATACATCATATAAAAAACAACTTAAGCAATAAAGATGTTAGTTGTATTTTTTTGATGAATTAATTATTAATTATTTAATTAATTGTTAGTTGAGCTTTATACTTTATTAAACTATATACAGAATATAATATTAAAAAATAATTAGAATATATTGTTATATGATTTAAAAAATGTTTTATTATTTGAAAAATGTTAAAGATGTTTTATACATATTCAAAATGATAACAAAATTATGAAAAAAATTACAAATTATTCTAAATCACGTTTAATAATAATACGACAAATTTAGTGATGATTTACTATCTGAATCATAAGTTATTTTAATAAATAGTAGTTCTATTTTTTAATCTGTACTCTAATAAAAATATAAGGAAATGTATTATAAAATAAATGATAAAAATCCCAATTTTTAAATATAAGTACATTATGTATTCAAGATTATTTATGTAGAGTTACATTGTGATGCATGAACTAGTTGTCCAGTAAATAAATGAAATACTTATTCGTTTTATATCTTTGTAACTAATCAGTAAATCGCAATGAAACTTTGCATCAATTATTTTGAATATTTAAAATTCTTATAAAAGAAAAATGTATAAATTATTTATAATTTTTTAAATTTTCATTTTTAACAATAAAAATAATAACAAATAAAATAAACTACAAAAATGTGTTAGTAAACAAAAATATAATCTTATTTACGTAACATTCATATGTATATAATTTATTTTAAGTGAAAATATTAAACATACTTTTAATTTTTATTTTAATTTAATTTTTTTTTTGCAGGAACTACACATCTAAAGATATGGTCAACGTAATACTGCAAAAGCTTTGAAGCGTTTTTTAATTGATCAGTTTGTTAAATTCTTTTTTCTAATTGGTTCATCAAATGATTCAAAGCATTTGTAATAAGACTTTGATTACAACCTAATACATCCTCAAATTCCCTTCAAAAATTGTTGTGACTTATTATTTTTTAAATTCTATCATAGACTTGTAGCATTTACCCAAAATAAACTTGGTATCCCATAACAAGGATCTTTACTCGTATTAAGTCGTATTACTACGTAAATTAGGTCAGTTGTATGTTAGATCCATTTTATACATTGGTCGTATCGTAGACGTCACAGGCTTGCGACAGTCAATCCGATGCATCAATTTTAAAGTCGCACGACGCTTACGATACGATTAATGTACATTAGGCTTTATAATGCGTTGTGTACAGTAGGATTATATGTGCAATACATTGTGGTTGCGTTCCGTTGTTCGCATAATGCATATGATGTATTATTATATTCTTTAACATTCTGCAAACAAGGATAAAATGATATTTCATGCGCATTATGCGTGCAATCAATCTATATGCAATACGATTGCAATCAAAGTTGTAGTTTGCTTCTTGTAGTTATAACTTCTCAGGAAAAAATGTTATATAAATGAACATATTTTATATATAATTATATATAAAATATGTATATAAAATATATAATTATATATAATTATATATTATATATAATTATATATTCGCGTAAACACAACATTATATATATTTTTCTAAAAAAAGCAGCAAG